ATACTAGCCATAGCACGATATTCGGCTTCGGTAGATGATCGGGAGACCGTAGGTTGTCTCTTAGCAGACCAAGAAACCAGATTGGACCCAAGAAAGATACAAAATCCTGTAGTAGAGCGACGAGTTGTCTGACATCCTGCCCAATTAGAATCACTAAATCCAGATAGGTTGAGAGAACTTTTGGAATGTATTCTCAAACCCAGATTTTGTGTCCCTTGAATATATCGGAGAACTCTTTTAAGAAGTTGGAAATCTGCAATGGTGGGAGTATGCATTTTCTGACATAGAGTGTTGACAGAAAAACTAATGTCAGGCCTAGTCAAGGTAAGATACTGCAGTGCTCCAACAATTCGACGAAAGAGCTGACCATCACCAAAATATTGAGACTTATTTTGCGACATCACGGGCAGTTTTGTAGGCAGTGGAGTAGAATAAGGTCGAGAATGTGCCATATCAAATTTATGCAAAATTTCAGATGCATACTTACTTTGGTTGAGATGAAGCTGATCCTGAAACCATTCAACTTGGACTCCCAAAAAATAATGAAGTTGTCCCATATCTTTCATACAGAACTGCTCACTAAGCTGTGCAATCAAGTTGGTCAAATCGGCTTCAGAAATTTCTGTCAAAATTATGTCATCAACATATAGAAGCACAATGAGCAGAATTGAACCATTGTTGTAGATGAATAATGAAGCATCGGCAGTACTACTTTTGAAGCCAAGACTGAACAAAAACTGGCTGAACTTATCAAACCAATCTCTTGGAGCTTGTTTAAGACCGTAAAGTGCTTTGTTGAGTTTGCACACGTAGTCAGGATGCTTAGCATTAACAAAACATGGTGGTTGCTTCATATACACATCTTCAGTAAGATCGCCATGTAAGAAAGTGTTTTTGACATCAAGTTGCTTCAACTTCCATCCTTTAACCAATGCCACTGAAAATATATTACGAATTGTAGAAAACTTAACCACTGGACTGAAAATTTCTAAATAATCAATACATTCTTCTTGGAGAAAGCCTTTAGCAACTAATCGCGCCTTTAGCCGATCAAGAGAACCATCTGCACCAAGCTTTGTTTTAAAGACCCACTTGCAGTCAATAATATTCATTCCTGGGGTTTTAGGAACTACAGACCAGGGGTGTAATGCTTGTATTTCTTCTTCCATAGCAAGTTTCCATCCAGGATGACGCATAGCAATGGAACTGTTGGATGGTTCCTTAGGTATATCTGTTGGAAGGTTCCATCCATTAGGGTAAAGTAGAACAAATTACTTCACCCAACATGATCCGACAAGGCTTGAATCAATCTACGGCACAAAGATCATAAATTTCTTCTCCCAAACTCATTCAGAGCCCAATGGGAAGGAAGAAAACTAAAAGGGGTACGACCAAATCGATAATTAAAATGGAGATTCGCATAAAAGTTATGGCAAAAAAGCCAGTGATTACAATACCCAGGTGAACAATATCCAGACTATTTCGATCCAGATGATAATTTCTTTCGAAAACATTTCGAGAAGACGCAAGAAAGCTTCAGGTAAGAACAACACAGGTAGAAAAAGAACTGCGAATAATGAAGGGTATAAATCAAAAGTCCAGATTTTAAATTACAAAATTAATTCGAACAGATAACCCAAAGGAGGGGGGGGAATCAAATTGAAAAAGAAGGAGAAGGCGAGGGACCTGCGCACGATCTGAAGAACAATACGTTCAAGTGGAGAGGGCAAGAACTGAGAAATTACAGAGAAAAATTCTGGTAAAGGAAATCATTTCTTTTATGGGCCTTAATAAGGCCTATTTGTTTTAATTATGGTCCATTATTAAAACACAAATGGGCTCATTTAATGGGCTTCATTAAATTCAGATTCATATATATATGGACTGCAATTGATAAATGTAACTAAGATTACAAAACTGCTGTTTTAAAAGAAAAGAGAAAAACATGAAATGGAGATTAATTTAAGACAACGTTTTATAAATTGATACAAATAATAGATTAGTTTCTTCTGTGATAGAGAAAAATTTGGAACACCAAGTTTGATGAATTTTTGAATTATTAAAAAAAATTTCTTATGTAATATTAAATTATGAATAATGGTGTGTGTGTATATATGTGCATGTATATAGTACAGATTCTTTATATTATGATTAAGAGTCACAGTCATGACCACTATATATAACCAATTCAATTAAACTAATCCATAAAACATATCAACTTTAATGTTGGGTTAGCCGACAGATACCAATCACACATCAAAGTTAACATTTATAAAATACAGAGAGTCAAATTATAATAACCGACCGTTTATTTATATAATTGATGATTTAGTTCCAAAATTCTTACTAATAAATTTGAAATTATTTATAATATATAATCAGCATAATCCAATATTTTCAAATTTTTAAAAGATCAGGATTTACGAAAGATTTCCGATACCAACTTATATATTGAATATTTCCCT